CATTGCCATCCTTACTCTAATTTAAATTTTTTAAATTTAGCTTTAAATTTATTGACATCTTACTACCATCTTTGGTTCCTTTTATTCCCACCCTAATCCTATATTCTACTTATTATACCAATTCGCTTTTGTTATATTCAAAATCTTTCCCTCAGGGTATTTCTCCCTGCAGTTCTTCTCCCTCAAAGCTCTTATTATGTTACTTGTTATACTATTAAAATATAATCATTCATATTTTGTTGTTAAAACAAATCTTAAATCTAAGAGATAATTAGCAAAATAGCTGAAATCTTTCTGAAAAAAACTAAAATTTATGTTACACTACCATCTCTTCTCCAATATACTCTACATACTACCAATTTACCTTTATAAAATATCTTTTTGCTAAGAAATTATCAATGTGGGGTTTATTTTTCTCTCTACCTCAGGGGAGGAAAAAAAAAATATAAATCTGTAGCCTAAAATCCAAGAAACAGGTAAATACATGCTAAGAGAGAAATTTTTCTTTTTTTTCTTTTTAAACCCTCAAACTAAGAGATGCTTAATATTTCAAAGCTATCATAAACTAAGCATTTATTCTCTAGAATAAGACTTTAATTCAGGGTAACCAAACAGCTACTGTTAGCATACTCTTCTTATCAGAAGAATATTAAGAAATAAAAGAGGGAAGATATAATCTGAAACCTCATCATTTTAGAGCAAACAACTCTGGCAAAGTTCAGCAACAGATTTTTAGTAAAATGAAAAGATGATAGTACTTAAGTATTAGTATGATGTCACTCTAGAACTCCACTGATTACTTGATATTATCAAAGGGAAAATTTACAGGATAATGTAGAAAATTTGGGATAGGCTGTCACAACCTTAATCTCATTATCACTTTCGGGATCTCTGATATTGAATGACCAGACATTAAGTGCCTCCTCTGTGATGCAATATGAAGCACACAGCATTATTCAGGCAGTATGCTTGCCTTATCAAACCTTTATATATAATTTCAAGTTATAAGAGGTGAGATAAATTATTTAGAAAATTAGAAAGAAAAAAATCAGACAAGTCCAGAATGGAAGACATTCCGGAAGACAGCAGGCCATATCTCATCTATAAATCAATCTCTACAAAATAAAACAGTGGTTTTGTTGGGGTGTAAAAGGAGCCGTTGTGGATAAACAGATCTGTGAGTTACAAAAACCATTATAAAATATAGCTCATGGCTTGGGCTCACTTTAAACAATCAAGTGTAAAGACATTTTCCAGGACAATCTAGGAATACTGACTAGAGCCTGGAATTTAAATAGGAAGCAAAAGAGTGTTAATATTATTATGTGCCATACCATTGTGCTTAATTTTTTTTTTCAAAGAAAATTGTGATTTTTATAAAGGTTTACAGGAAGGTTGGGTTTTCATCCATTCATTATTGCACATTTTTCTCCTTCCCTTTGCTGTGCACCCTTCCCCCAGCCCTTCACACAATGGACCCCTTGTTCCAAACTGTTGTCATATATATAAAATTGGCCTAGTAGATAGGAATTTATGCTACCAAGCCAAAGGTGGGTGATTTTAATCTGCAGCCCTCAGACCTGGCTTTAATTGTTTTTGGTCAAACATTCTTTTATTAATTATTATTATTATTATTACTACTTTTAATGAACATTTTCAGAGATTTTGGATTTCCATTCATTCACTGTTGCACTTTTCTCACCACCCAGCCTCCTCCATCCACAGTTTGCTCTTCTAATGGTTAACTTTTTTAAAGGTCATTATTAGAGATGCATTCTTAAATAATTTGAGGTGAATGTGATGAAATCTGTAACTTACTTTCAAATTCTTCAGCAATAAAAATGGGCATATAGCAATAGAAAAACTTTTATAACTCTTAAATCTAGAAAATACTTATGTGGAATAACATAAGTGTTCTTACAATTATGATTCGGAAAGTATGGGAAACAACAGCATAGCTCAACATTCATCTACTTGAAACATTAAAGGGACATTTAGGCATTTAAGTCTTAGACACAATTTTATAACTAACAGTAGTTATTATGTACTAATAGCAAAAGTATAACTAAAATGTACAGTGCACCTACATTTTAAAAATGAAAAATTAAAAAAACACTGTCATAAAACACTACCATCGTCTCAGGTCTAATACTTTCCGCTGCTTAATATCTTCAAGAGGGGAATGTTGAGGACACTCTCTTTGATGTCTTCCTTTTTTATCTGAACTTTTCTTCTTTGAAATTTGTTTCTTTACACTGCCTAGAAAATAAGAACATAAAATAAGCAAAATGCACAAGATGCTGTAAACAGCCATGACAATAACACTGTATCAGAATTTTGAAGGTGCTGTCACAGAGTTCTAAAAATGATCTTCCAGGTATCTTTAAAAATATCACCCTCCCTACCTAAAAGAGAGAAAATAAAAACAAGTATAGGCAGCCACAGATATTATGTCCTACAAAATGCTTATGTTCCAGTTCTAGCACTAGTCACGTAGCTGGTTAAAGAATCAATAAAAACCTTTAGTCTTATCTAGACTATCAAATTGACAACAGTAAAATATTTAACAAGAGCACTTTCCAGAAAATTAATCCTTTCTATAGTACAACAAAACCACATTAGTGCAACCCTATTAAGAAAGTAAAAGCACTGGCTACAATAACATGATTATGTGATGTTTAAAAATATCTCCAGGCCCACAGAGACCTCCAAATGGATTAAGAATGATGCACACATGTACATTATTAAAATGCAATGTTAGCTCCAGGAACTAGGATGGAAAACATTCTTCTTCTGTATGTGTGTGCTCCTCTCCAAAAGAAAGCACAAGAAAAACAGCAGTGGTTACGGATGAGGTAGGAATGAGAAGGCAGCAAAGCGAACTGGGAACTGGACAAAAGGCAGACAAGAGTAAGGAGCTTATATTATTTATTTTTATACTTTTTATTTCTGAAACATACGAATGAATATGTTTTACATTACCCATACAAAAATTACATTAATTCCTTAAAAGTGAACAAATGAAATCCAAGCTTCATTTCAATAAAGTATTATTAATATATCAGGTTGTTATTCTCATGTGCCACTGAGTTGAGTACACAACCCTATGAACAACACATCTGAATCCTGTCCTCACCATCTCTGATATACTTGAACCCATCACTGCAGTCACCATCTCTTCCTCTCTTTTGCTAACCCTGCACCTTTCCAAGTATGATGTCCTTTTCCAAGGAAGTGCCTCTCCTAGCAACATGTCCAAAGTAAAGGAGATGAAACTTTGCCATCCTTGTTTCCTAAGAGCTCTCTGGCTGTACTTTCTCCAGGACTTATTTGTTCTTTTGGAAATACATGCGATATTCAATACTCTTTTCCAACACCACAACTCAAAGCCATCAATTCTCCTTCTATCATATTTTAGATAGCTGTGTTCAAGTATTTCATCTTCTTACACATCTTCCATTTTAAATAAAAACTAATGACTAATTTTTAATTTTACAAGAATACACACACACACACACACACACACACACACACACTCACACACACTCACTCTCTCTCTCTCTCTCTCTTCCTAAATGGCATGCCTCCAGAAACTCAATGAACTTTGATAAATGTTGATAGTTGCAGAGGGACTTCAGGCCTTTTGTTCATAAGGTCGCTATGAGTCGTGCTCAACTCGAGGGCAATCAACAACAAATATATGTATCTTCAGCACACTGGGTTTTAGAGAAAAATATACTAATAACTCATAAGAAATCTAATACATAGTTTTAGAAATTAAAAGACATAGTGCCATGGGAAAGTCTGCTGTTAGGGACCTCTCCAAAATACTGAAGGGCAATGGTGTCTCTCTGGAGACTAAGGTGCGTCTGATACAGGCCATGGTCTTTGCGATCACTTGTTATGCATCAGAGAGTTGGACAATGACTAAGGAGGATAGAAGGATAATTGATGCCTTTGAGCTGTGATGCTGGAGAAGAGCACTGAGGGTACCACAGACTGCTAGGAAGACAAACAGATTCATCTTGGAGAGAATTAAACCGGGCGGCTCCTTGGAGGCAAGGATTCTGAGGCTTCGTCTAACATACTTTGGACATGTTGTAAGAAAGAACCGGTCCTTGGAGAGGGACATCATGCTTGGGAGGGTGGAGGGACAGCGCAGGAGGGGAAGGCCCTCGGGATGGGTGTATTGGAGATGGTGCGATTAGCACAGGACAGAGCAGAGTTTAGGGCTGTTGTACATAGGGTCGCTATGAGTCGCAAGTGACTTGACGGCACATAACAACAACAAGTCTAAAACCCCTATCATTTCTAATTGGAAAAACCACAGAACAGAGAGTTCAGAAGAACCAAGTATGATTATGTCACCAAACCAACACTGTCACTGGAAAGAGAGGTGAGAAGATACCACCAAAGAGAATCAGAGATGGAGAAGCTAAAATTCCGCGCACAAATTTCATCTAAATGTAGGGCTGACCTAGATCAGGCATGTACAGAAAAAAACCTCACACAGAAGTTTGTTGGTTTGTTTTTTTTTTTTTTAAAAAAATGAGATTCTAATTTATAGTGACCCTGGAGACATAATCTGGAGGGAGTTGTGCCACTAACACTAAGGCCTGCCACCTCTCAGTTCCAGTTCTTCAATGTCTCTAAAACCCACGTATCCCCTTTCCATGCCGTTTTTAACCTCAGAAAACCTGCAGGAGCATCATTTACGGCATGCCAAGGCTATAAGTCGTTATCAATGTCACCTGCCTTAGCATGTTTTTTTAATAGTGTAGCTAATGAGTTCGGACTATGAACTTTAGTTCATAGCTGAGTGCTTTAACCAGGACTCTTCAAACAGGGAATCCAAGGCTTAAAGAACTGAAATGAGATATAAGCCACTTATTGTTGTGACGTGCCGCCAAATCACCTGTTACTCATAGCAAGCCTACATATAGCAGCTCTGAACCCTGTCCTGTCCTAAGCTAGTCTAATTCTGACACACCAACCCCCTTTGCCCCAAGTTACTGTATCAATCCATCTCATCCAGGGTCTTCCTCTCCTCCGCTGTCCCTCGACCATTCCAAGCCCAATGTCCTTCTCCAAGGACCAATCTCTCCTGGCAACATACCCAAAGTATGTGAGACTGAGCTTCAAAAATCCTAGTCTCCAAGGACACACTTGGTTTCACCCTCTCCAAGACATAACTATTTGTTTTCTTGGTAGCCCACAGTATGTCCAAGACTCTTCTCCAGCAACACAATTCTATTCATCTATTCATCTTCTGTCATCCTTAGTCACTGTCCAGCTCTCTGAGGCATATCAAGTAACAATAAGGACCAAGGGCCGGATCAGGAGCACCTTAGTCTCTAGACTGACATCGTTGCTTTTCAGCACTCTGGAGAGGTTCCTGACAACAGATTTTCCCAATGCAATTCGTCTTTTGATTTCTTGACTGCTAGGGCAATAAGTGTTGATTATGGAGCTGAGAAAGTTGTTACTTGTTAACAACCTCAATTTCTTCTCCATCTATCATGGTGCTGCCAATCAGCCCAGTGGTGAGAATCTTTACTTTCTTCATGTTGAGTATAATCCTTGACTTTCTGCAGCAAGAGCTTCAGGTCCTCTTCAGTTTCAGCAAGCAAGGTTACGTCATCTGTATAATGTTGGTTGTTGATAAACCTTCCTCCAATCCTGATGTGACATTCCTCCTCATAAAGCCCTGCTTCTCGAATGATCTGTTCTGAATATAGTTTGAAAAGGTATGGAGACAGAACACATCCCTGACGCACTCCTCCTGATTTTGAACCATGTAGTGTTTCCCTGCTCTGTTCTGAGGCCAGTTTCCTGGTCCAAGTAGAGGTTTTGCATAAGCACAATCAAGTCTTCTGGGATTCCTATTTTTCTCAAGGTCAGCCACAGTTTGTTGTGATCTACACAGTCAAATGCCTTTTCACAGTCAATGAAACACAGACATTCCTCTGGTACTTTGCTTTCTCCCAGGATCCATCTGGCATTATTGGCAATAACGTCTCCAGGGCCACGTTCTTCTAAATCCAGCTTGTATTTCTAGTAGTTCTCTGTGAATATACTGTTCCAGTTGTTCCTAGGTAATTTTCAGCAGGATTTTGCTAGTGTGTGATATTGTTCGATAATTCCACACTCTGTCAGGTCACCTTTTTTTGGCTTGGGAATAAATATTGGTCTCTTCCAGTCAGTTGGCCAGGTAGTTGTCTGACAGATTTCTTGGCATACCGTAGTGAGGACATCCAGGGCAGCATCTGTTTGTTGAAATATATCAATCGGTATTCCATCAATTCCTGGGGCTTAATTTTTTTGCCAAATCCTTTGGAGTAGCCTGCACTTCCTCCTTCATCACCACTGCCTCTTGATCATATGCTTCTTGAGATTCTTCTGCGCCGGCCAATTCTTCTTGGTACAATGACTCTGTATACTCCTTCCATCTTTTAATGTTTCCTTAATAATTCAATATTCTCCCTACAGCATCCTTAAGCATTGCAACTTGTGCCTTGAATTTGTTCTTTTGTTCCTTCAGCTTACGGAATACCGAGGGAGTTTTGCCCTTTTGATTTTCTAACTCCAGCTCCTTGCACATTTCACTATAATACTTTGCCTTGTCTTCTCGAGCTGCCCTTTGAAATTTTCTGTTCAGCTCCTTAACTTCTTGATTTCTTCCCTTTGCTTTGGCTTCTCGGCATGCTAGTGCAATATTCAGAGTCTCTTCTGACATCCATTTTGGTCTTTTCTTCTTTGTAATGACCTTTTGCATCTTCCTGAATGATACTGTTTTTTTCTTCCCACAGCTCATCTGGTCTTTGTTCATTAGTGTCCAAGGCCTCAAACCTGTTCCTGAGTTGGTTTTTAAATTCAGGGGGGGATAGCCTGAAGATCAAATTTTTATTCCTGTGGAAATCATTTAACCTTCTTTAGCATTAATTTGAACTTGCATAAGAGTAGTTGATGGTCTGTTCCACAATCAGCATGTGGCCTTATTTTCACTGTTGATACTGAACTTCTCCAAGGATTCCTTTCACAGATGTAATCAATCTGATGCCTGTGCATACAATCAGGTGAAATCCATGTGTATAGCCTGCATTTATGTTTCTTTTTTTAAAAATAATTTTAATGAGCATTTACAGAGATTTTGGATTTCCATTCATTCATTGCTGCACTTCTCTCCACCCCCCACCCCCACCCCCAGTTCACTCCTCTCTTTCAAAAGTAAAACACTCCTTCCCTGGTACACAATCCCCCCACACCCCTCCCGCATTTATGTTTCTTATAAAAGGTATTTGCTATAAAGAAATCATTGATTGTGCAGAAGCTGCCACTGAGGAAACTGAATTTACAGTTTTAGTGAGACCATGATAACTGCTTGTTAAAAAGAAAATAATCCTTTGGTGACATATAAGAGACTCTGGTGTCTCCAAAATATCTAGGACACAATCTAAAATTATTGAACATGGTAAAAGACAGGAAAATGTGACACATTCTCAAGAAAAAAAAAATCAGGATAAGCAAGTCTAGCTTTTAGGTAATTAGGTTGTTGAAATCTGCCAGAGAAATTTACTTTAAAAGTAAATAATACTGTGTGTTGGGGCCAACTCCACAGCATCTAATAATATTAGAACTATGCCTTATGAATTCGTTCAAACACTTGTAAGAAATGAAAAGAGAGCAAATAGCAGACAAGGGAACAGAAACCATTAAAAGAAAAAGAAAATTCTAGAAATAAACAATATATGAAATAAAGCAATTTACTTGACAGTCTTAACACTATACTCAACAAATGCATTTGAAATACAAAGTCACAGATTGATAAATACATAGGAAAAACTATACCCGCTAAATATTTAAAAATAAAAAAGCAACTAAGAATAATGTTATTATCAAACAAAGTCAATTTCAAAATAAAAAATCATGCCAGGGATAAAGCATTAAACTGATAAAAATATATATCATTTCTATAAACACTTAATAACATCTTCATATCACACAAAACCAAAAACTGACAAAGTTAACTGGACAACAGACAACTACAAAGCAAATTATAGTTGGAGATTGTTAAAGCCTTCTTTTAGCAAGTGCTAGAACTGGGAAAAAATTTAGCAAAGACACAGAGGAGTTAAACAAGACTACCTTGGCCTAAAGAATTTTTACAGAACACTTCATCGATGGGTCAGTTCCAACTCGACAGCACACATCATCATCACCAAGTAACTGCTGGATATATTCTTTTCAAGTATACATGGCACATTCACCAGCACCGACCATATGGTAGGTCATAAAGTAAGACACAAAGGACTGAAATTGTATGTTCTCTGTTTACAATGGAATTAAATTAGAAATCAATAATAATGGTTAGAAAAACCCCACAATCTGGAAGTTAATAGCATACTTCAAAGTAATGCAATGTAAAAAGAGATAATTCTCAGGAAATTTTGAAAATATTTCACATTTAATGATAACATACTGTACTGTAACCAAATTTATAGCTACCATTAAAGCAATGCTCAGAAATTTGAAGCATTAAGCACTTAGAAGAGTCTCAAATCAATGATCTCAACTTCCACATTAAGGAGCTAGAAGACGAAGAATAAAATAAACAAAAAAAGTATCTGGTAAAGAGAAAAAAAATGAATGAAATAGAAAATAAATGGGAAAGTTAGTAAAGCTAAAAGTAATTTGAAACGAGGAATAAAACTGAAAAATCCCCAACTAAATGAATGGTAAAGGGGGAAAATAAAAAAGAACAAATCACCAGTACCAGAATGAAAGAGGAATTTTAATCACTAAAGATCCAACAAATGTTAGAATAAGGAAATATTGCAAACAGCTTTCTACCAACAAATTTGAGAACTTAGTTGACATGGAAAAACTGAAATATGCCAATTAATGGGAACAGAGATCATTTTATTGTCATAGGTATTCAATAACTATTAAAACAACCTATCTTCACAAATCAATGCACAATGGAATGAAGTTTCAAGTAGCCTTATAACCATTTTAAAAAATTATCTAAATCCTTTTTATAAATGCCAGACCTTAAAAGTTTTGTTAAAGGGATTGGTGGTAGCCTAGAGGCAAGAATCTGCACTACAATCCCAGAGGTGAGAGGTTCAAATCCACCAGATGCTCTGCTGGAGAAGGAGGGGCAATCTCCTCCTCTACCAGTCAGATCCAATTTGACAGTACACACACACAAAAATAATAAAATAAAAAAACTTTAAAAATTATATTGAGGAGCATGGGTAAACACTAGTAAACACATGGGAAAATATCACCAATCCTACACCAACATTTCTTTTTGAAAAAGGAAAGAACACTCCCTAGTTTATTTTAGAGACTTAATTCTTAAACTTGAAGCAATAACAAAAATTATGGACCAGTATCATTCACCGTGTCACAAAGAAAAACCACTCATGGCCCAAAAAATTACAAATCTGCATAACAGTTTATAAAACTATTTGATATTGAAAATGTTATGGAGTACAGAGGTTTTACAAAGTGATCAGAGAAGCCAAGAAATAAAATATAAATCCTAGTGCTATATCCTACCAAATATGCAACTGTGGGGGATGTTTAATATCCCTTCTTAGTCTTAATTGTTCACAGACTGCCCAAAAAAGCTTTGTACGGCATAAGTGCAAAAGAATTTGCACTGTAACTGTGAAGGTGGTTCTGTGTAACTCCGTAAACATCCTCCTCTTAAACTCAATAACCTCATCAGACATCGATGAAGCCCTTACCAATTACTAAAAAAAAAAAAAATTAACAAAAACTACTGTTGTATGGTAGAAAACTAGATTTTTAATCTGTAAAAAGGAATTCTACTCCCTGCAAAACTAGAAAATGTTGCTGTTGTTTTGTGTCACAAAGCCATTTCTGACTTAGAGCATGTCCTATGTACAACAGAACGAGATTCTGCCCAGCCCTAAACCATCCTCACAGGCTCTGCCCTGTTTGAGCCCATAGTTGTAGCCACTGTGTCTATTCCTCCTGAGGGTCTCCCTTTTTTTCCCCCCCCTGACCTTTTACCTCACCAAGCATGATGTTCTTTCTCTAGAACTGGTCCCTGTGGAGGACAAGTTCAAAGTGTCATTGACTTTTTCTAAGCTACTATATACATCTCTGTTACTTTACAGCATTCTCAGATTTTTGAAGTTCTCAAAATGAACAGAATGACAAATGTTCAAAATTCTTTTTCTTTAACTATAATGATAATAATAAGGAAAGATGACAGCCAATGTTCCCTGTTCAAATCCTAGAAAAGGAAAACACATTTAACGGCAAGTGCAAAAAAAAAAAAAAAAAAAAGAACATTTCCATTATTATTTTCATATAGGAAGTCCACAGCTCTTTCCTTACCAGATTTGTGTTTCAAATTTGTGGTCACTGCATCAAATTCTGATTTATCAATTTCCCATGCAAGAGGTAGCTTGTCTAGGCTACTGGACAAGTTTTCCAAGCTATTTTCTTCATTATAGATGATTTCAGATGCACTAGTAGGTATGCCAATGTATCTGGATGAATTATTTCCAGCAGACAGAGAGGTACTATCAGGGAGGCAAGAAGAGCGTGATGGAGCTGGAGTTTTATAGATTGAGGTTGCCTGGTTGAGAAAGGCATAGTCTGAACAGATGGCATAAATTTTTTCCCGAGTATGAGTCACTGGACAACTCCATGGATAATGACCATCTCCTTTAGGCCCCAAGGGTGCTCCAGAGGCACTTGTGCAGAAAGATTTTACAGCACCTTGAAGATTCTCTTCAGGAGACTCTCTCTCAGATCTGTGTTCACCATTTCCAGAATCATTTGACCTATCTGTTTCCGCAACGTTAGGCATTGAATGTAACTATAAAATGACGTTATTAGAAAGAAGGTGCAAGTCTTCTGCTTTGCGAAGAACAACTTTAAAAACTGTCTAGAGCATTCTACAAAAACTTGAAAGCTGCGGAAAGGACTCCTAAGAAGAAAGAAAAGGAAAAAATAGATCCAGATCAAATACACAAACAAGATACAAACAAGCACATAACAGTATAAACATGTTCTTTAAATGCCTTCATTAAGTAAGTACTTTATAACTATTAAATGCCTTTTGTTCATAGGGGCACTATGAGATGTGCTTGGCCTGACAACAACAACAACATATCATGTGAGTATGCTCATCTTTCTCCTGATAAGCAAGTGTGGATTCAACATGCCAACCTTTCTGTGAGGAAACGAATCTATTATGCACTGTATTTCCAGGACTAGAATCTAGTAGTCTCTAACTTCAGATCCGTTTCAGAGGATAAACTGCTTTCAGACTAAACCAGAAAAATATTCATTTATCATTGCACATTTTCCTCCCTCCCCTTCTCTTTTCTCCCCAAATCAGAAAATTTTAAATAGGAGCTGAGGACATTGAGGAGAACTAGATGTATATACACTGACCCAATGAATTAAATCATTACAGGTGACCCAGGAAGCAAGCAGACACAGCTGTCAGTACTGTGCCATTTGGGAGTAGAGACCCATTTTCCAGGGCTCTAACTCAAACCATACTGTATGATCAAGTAGGATGTGTGGGTATCAGTAAATAGTTCTGCCCATTTGCTTGCTTAAAAAAGAATAATCCAAAATATCATAGGTTATAGAAACATATATAAAACCATCACACAAATATTGAATAACAAAAACCTATGACTAACACTGTAAGAAATACTAGCCAGAAACATCGTGAGGAAGGGATAGGAGAGGTTCAAGTTCCTATCTCTTGTTCACAGGTTGCTATGCTATGAGTCGGCGCCTAATAACAACGAAACAAACAACTTCTTACCCATTTCATGATTATGCAGTGGTGATACAATAGAGGGTGCAAAGAAAATGCAGTGCCTAAGGTCATACAGACTAAATAACAGTCATTCCATTTTCTCTCCTTCATGGCACGTATCTTAAAAACTGCTAGATGCATTCCTTAATTCTGTTAACCTCATCTCATTACTTCTCTATAAACCTGTATTGTAGATAAAGTTACTGGGGGCTTTGTGGGTGGGCTGCCTGTAGAGTGAGGAATGAAAGACAACATACAGTCTAACAGTGAAGGACAATGAGAACGGCGACTGGAATGAGACTGCTGGGGTCCCAAGTACTGCCCTTTTATACTTATACTCCCATCTTAAACTCAACTTCTCTGTTGACATTGCCTCCTTTACCAAATTAAATAGAATTTTGCTTGTGGAATCAGCTGTGTAGCAATATGAAGATTTCATGACTTACGTTCAAGATACAGCCACAGTGTTCCTTGGAGGCAAAGATTATGAAACTTTATCTCACATATTTTGGGCATATTGTTTAGAAAGGTTATTCTTTGGGGAGGAATATCACGCTTGAAGGGTGGAGAGGTGGCAAAAGAGAAAGACCCTAAACCAAGTGGGTTGACATGGTGACTGCAGCAATGGGCTTGAGTGTGTCAGTGATTGTAAGGATGGAAGAGGATAGGACAGGGTTCAGATCAGTTGTTCATAGGGTTTTAAAAAGTCATACTTAACTTGACAGCATCTAACAACAATGGCATAATGGTTAAAGGGGTGATCTATCAAATGGTCAATTATTCCAACTCCTCAACTCCTTCTTGGAGAAAAAGAAGTGGCAATCTGCTGTAGTAAAGAGCATAATCTTGGAAACCGTATCGGGTGGTTCATCTTGCTTTGTCCTACAGGGGTCACTATGGATTAGAATCAACTTGAGGGTAGTATGTTTGGTTTTGGGGAGCCTATTCATTTCAAGGGAGCCCTGATGGCTTAGTGGTATGGAACTGGAATGCCAACCCAAAGACATGCTTTTCTAATCCACCAGATGCTCCCTGGGAGAAAGATGGGCAATCACTCCTGTGCAATTTACCGCCATTGCAAACCTGCTGGAGAGTAAGCTATGTATTGGTTCTGACTTGATGTACAATACACAACAATTCTTGTAAGAAACAGACCACCAAAACTCAAAAATAACTATTTCATAAAATACCATATAACATGGGAGAGACTAGGGAGCATTATGTTGAGTGAACTCAGTCTCATAAGGTAATTATTGTATAAGACCATTATTGTAAAAATAGAAGAATAACTAGTAAGATGTGGATCAAAGTCCAAAGGGGGGGGCAGGAGTGAGGAGGAGGGAGGATGTCACAAGGTTGCAGAGTCTGGTGGGTGGATGGAGAGGATGAAGGAATTAGGATAAACCTAGTGGGGACCTGAAAAGATTGGGTGATAACGGCCAAAAATCAATGGTAATTAATTTTATATATCACAGTGTAAGGGAATGATCATGTGAAACACAATATATACTAATTTTGTATTCAAACTAATATAAAGTTGGGGTGAAAACACAGACTAAAGAATATTACATTTGAGCATAAAAGCTAAAGGCAGAAAAAAAAGAGTATTTGTGTAACACTACACAAGAATAATTTCATTTGCATCTTTACAAAATAGAATCATCACCATAAAGTATCATCAAATATGATCATCTGTTTCATTTTGTTGCTGTCAAATGCCATCTAGTGGGAACCAACTGATAGCTGAGCTTCCGATAGGTTTTCAGAAGCTGTAAATCACACAAGAGATTTGCCCACTTTCCTTCAAAGGAGGAGCTTGGTGGATTCAAACCACCTGCCTTTGGGTTGGCAACACAATTCTTACCAATTAGGTCACTAGATAAAAAAACCATAAGTAAACTTAAAAAGGGTGGAGGGCAGGTGCAGGAGGAGAAGGCCCTCTAGGGGGTGGATTGATTCAGTGACTGGGGTAATTGGGATGGGTGTGTCGGAGACAGTGCGATTGGCACTGGACAGAGCAGAGTTTAGGGCTGTTGTACATAGGGTCGCTATGAGTCACAAGCAACTCGATGGCACATAACAACAACAACAAACTTGAAAAGTGTTTCTTAGTAAAACTTTCCTATTTCAAACATTTTTAAGAGAATTTATGTAGCACAGAAATTCCTCTTCAGCAATGTGTGTGATATTTATAGATTTTATTAGTAAAGGATTCTGGATAAAAATTGCAAAGCACTGAAAAAGGATATTACAAAGAAAACAAGTATCATCGAAAGTCCTATTATCTCAAAGCTGCTATACTGTATATTGAATGACTGGCTCATATTTATATCTAATGTCTGATAGTAAGTGTCTGATTTCTACCTACCCTTTCCACTATGATTTAAGTTCTATGATGGGGGACCAAGCATGCCTTGCTTATTCTTGTATCTCCATTGCCCTGCTTAGATCTTAGCTTTCTTGACAGAAGCATAATTTATGACTAATAACAAAGACGTTAGACATCCATCATTGTTATTACATTGTGATTGCATGCTAAGGAAATAAGTATAGAGGAGGAGTCCATCCTCTCAATAAAAAGCCTGTCACTTTAACAATTTGTCACATTTTGTGCCTCCTTTTATCCCTAATTTTTAAAAATCATTAACAATTCCATTCCCATTCCTGGCTCTCCTCTACCAATACTATGTCATTTCTAATATGTCTTCTAAATAGATACCAGAAAACAAAGCTTACTACATAAATATGATCATATAACTTCCTTGGCTAAACCTCTTGACAGAATCCCAGCTCTTTGTCCAACCCCGTGATCTATCTCTTAAACTTCAATTCATCTGTCTCACCTTCTTCTCTGGATTCAGCAACAATGATCCTTTTCTAAAGAGACCTCCAACAAGAGGGACTGACACAGTGACTGTCTCAATGGGCTCAAGCAAATAGAGATTGTGTGGATGGTGCAAGACAGAGCTAGGTTCAACTATGTTGTTCTTTGGGTTGCTAAATCAATGCACCTAACAACAATTGGTGTGCTGTGGTTAAAGCACTCAGCTTTAGTATTTGTTTTATTTTTCCTTTCCTTGTTGGGTGCCGTTGAATCAGATTCGATTGGCACAGGAGGAGACTGTCCCTCCTTTTCCAGGAGAGCATCTGGTGGATTTGAACCATGCACCTTTGGGATTGCAGTACAGCTTCTTTGCCTCTAGGCTGCCAGAGCTCCCTGAGGTTAGGAGTTTTAGGAATTCAAACATACCAGTTGCTTCAAGGTGTGTGTGTGTGTGGGGGGGGGGGGAGAAGCTTCCAATAGGCTTGGGAATTCTACAGGGAAGTTCTACTGTCCTACAGGCACTATGAGAATGAACTGACAGGTTTGGTCCCTTGAATGCTAGCCTTCCCACTCCTCTTTTTCACATTCAGATTTCAATTCACATGTCCCTTTGTGGAGGAGAGAGGTTCTGTGTAACTCAAACAGGTAAAGTCACCCTGCATATACTCAGGCACCTTTCCTTCAGAAGTTTTAACCCATTTTGTTAGTTAATTCCAACTCATAGCAACTCTGCTACTTTATCACTCAGTGCTACAGAATCAGTTCCCACTCACAGCAACACAACACTGCCTTCTGTGCCATCCTCACAAGTCTGCTGCTCCAGATACTATTTTGTGCAGTCACTGTACAAATCTATCCTGTCGAGGGTCTCTTTTCCACTGATCCTCTACTTTACCGAGGCAGCTCTGGTGGTGTGTTATGTGATGTTACGCTAACAAAAAGCATGGCCATTCAAATCTACCTGCTGCTGAGGGAAAAGATGGGCAGTCTCTTCCTGTAAAGACTGCAAGACAGTATCAGAAATCCAACGGAGGCTCACTATGAGCCAGAGCAGGCTTTATGGCAGTGGGGTGGACTTGGGTTTGGGTCTGTTTTACTCTGGTGAGCACAGCATGCAGCACTCTAAGTCCACATATCACCAGTAGTTTAAATCTACTGCGAGCTCTGTGGGAGAAAATACATAGCCTCATGTTAAGATTGACAGCCTCTGAGAACTGAAGAACGGCTGAGGGGAACCAACTCAATGGAAATTTGTGTTACATTTTGTTTGTTTGTTTGTGTCTTTCTCCAGGGATTTCATAATCTCACTGCCTTCAAATAAGAACTGACTCCTCACTGACCCTTCAGCAGAGTTCTAGAGGCTGTAAATCACATAGGGGATTTGCCTATTTTTCTCCTTTATGGGAGCAGATGACCACATCTTTCTCCTGGGAGGAACTGCCGAGTTCCAACTGCTGATCTTATTGCTTAACCTTAATGGCGCCAATGAGGCATCACTAGCCATGGTGTTGTGTGCTGTCCAGTAGGAAGTTACACATAGCTAACTCTCCAGCGGGTTTACAGAGGCAGTTTAATAATAGCACAGGGAAGGAGAATGCCTATTCGGCAGAACAGCAGGTGGATCTGAACTATCTGCCTTTGGGATTGCAGCACAGCTTCTAACCACTAGGCCACTAGAGCTCACTCACAGCTTCTTTAGGGAACAATTTTACATTTAGGCATGATTATATTACATGGTGAAGACCTACCTCCAGGGCGTTGGTTACTACTGTATTCCCAGGAATCAATCCCGTGGTCGTATGGTTAAAGGGCTCAGCTGCTTCAAATCCACTAGCCTTCATCAGTTACTGTGGAAGAAAAACACGGCAGTCAAGTTCTGTAGATTTATAGCCATACAGTCCTACCTCTAGTCCTATAAGGTTGCTATGCTTGTAATCTGCTGGTTTATAACCCTAGCATACAAAAACATTTATTCAATAAATACTTAAGTGCCTACAGTCCCAGTAGAGGAGTATGTTATGCCCTAGCTGCTTAATGAAAGAAAGGTTGGCTGTTCTAATCCACCATCCTCCTCCTCCTCCTCCTGTAAAGATTTACAATTTCAAAAATCCTATGGAGTGTTATTATGAGTAAGAAGCCACTCCAGGGTCTCCAAGCAATGATGGATGAAGATTTGGAACTCTGGGAAAGGTCACTTAGGAAAAACCCTGATCCACACCGGTGACAAGTGAAGATGCCCCATTCAAGGAAGTGAGGTGTTGCTGTTATAAAAAGTATTGAAGGATTTATGTCTCCACTTGACTTATTCATAAAAACCATGTCATTAGTTGCGAAATATTCTTAACTATAAAAAATTTCATAAAGCAAAATTCATAAAACGGCAAGCTTTAAATGCACCATCAGTGTAACGATTTAAACAAGTCTTCAGAATGAATTATTCTACAAAACAACTGTTCCATTTTTAAAGTCATCACTTAGACTACATGTTCTAGATTATATTGTAGATCTACATTTCTAAGCGAAATCTTAGAGAGGTAGACATTTTTTTAAAAAATGTGCCATCCACAAATAACTATTATGATCCATATTTCCAGTATAGAAAACAACTCTGACAAGGACAGTGAGTGACTTAAGGACGAACAGCTGTCAAGGGCGAGACTAGGAAAAGCGAGACTCTGAAAGGTCTTTTCTCCTTTTTCCCCCCCACCCTTTTCCACCCTTGCCCTCCAGACCCCTTTTTCCCTCCCGGGCAGCCCTGCGCCTCTCTCCCGAGTGCTGAGGCCGCTAGCCTCGGAAAGGATACCGGGTGGTTCCCGTGCACGATGCCGCGATGGAACCAGGTTTCGGGGGAGCCGGGCAGGGAGAGAGCCCCGCGCCTCAGGGAGGCTGGCGGCTCGGCCGCGGCGGGCCAGGCTCGGAGGCCGCAGGCAGCGCAGAGCGGTCGCGGCCGAGCCGGTGCGGAGGCGGTGCCGGCGCCAGGAGGAAGGGGCGGGCTGCGGTCCCGCCCGCGCCCCCTCCGCCGCAGCGCACCCGGGAGACGAGCTTTCGGAGAGCCCCGGGCCCGGGGCGCCGCCTCCGCGCAGCCGCCTTACAGTGCGGGAGGCGGGCCGTGCTCCCTCACAACAGAGAGGGCGCTAGGGCCCCCGGCTCCTTCTCCCTCCCTCCAGGTCCGGAAGCTGGAGTTCGCGCTCCAGGGAGGGAGGAGGCTGGGGCCGGGGAGGGAGGCGGGGGAAGGTCGGGGCCCGGTAGTGCAGCAGCCTCGTACCTGCCTGCGTGCGTTCCCTGGTGGCAAAAGGTGCCTAGGGTTACCAGGTGAAGAGGGAAGCTCCCGATCCGAGCTTTCCAATGAGTCCATATCACTAAAGGATAATTGTTACAATTAATATAACACCCCTGCCGCGCCTTCCGGCCGGGCCTGCTTTAGGGAAGACTATCAACATCCGTGAGCCTTTAGGACTGCTGATGCTTTCGAGAGAGGAAAGAGGAAAAGGCGACTTGGAGGCAGATTCCTGTGCAGACAGACTTATAGCGACCTTTCTGCACCGGTGACGGCGTGTAGGTGCAGCTATCTATAGCCCAGGCCTTAGCGAATGTGGCATGAAAGCACAAGACTGCGCTGTAGTCCCAGGATTGACAGGGGCATGGCACAGTGAGCTGAGTTCACGAGCACGCTATTCCTTCCTGGAGCGGTTCTCCCCCACTCCGCGGCAAAGGCTCTGCAGGCCTCATTTCTTGCCGGGAAGGAGACATGAATGCAATGGGCGTACAGCGGTGGACGAGCAGAGAAGGAGATGAGGTCTACAAAATAGGCGCCTAACATGGAAGAGGCCCCACGCTTTCCCCTCGGGAACTTGGGGGTGCAGAGCGCGTATGCGGCCAGCCGTGGTCTCGGACACTGTCCACATTTGGGGGCACCTCCGCTCCCTGTCCTGGGGGGCCGAGTACGTCCTGGGACCACAGATCCCAGTGTGTGGAGACCCTGACCACCACACGCCTCCGTACCCCCAGAGCAAGCCGGGAAAGCGCCTGATGGTCGTGCCCAACAGTCGACAGATAACATTGTACAAAACTTTTCCCGTCAAGATTTATACCTGTCTTCCTCGCACATGCAGAGAACAGAAGCCCATAAAATAAAATCTTACTAGTTGCATCTTCAAACCTGTATCTATCTCTATTGGGCATGAAACCAGTGATTGGAAAGTAAGAATGATCAGAGAAAGCTGGGTAAAATCCGGAATGAAATCCGCTAGCCCAGTCGCAAACTACATCTCCCAAGAAGCCCACGGCGCCCGGACGCGTGTCCAGCTCACCGTCCACTTGGAGAAGGTCTTACTAAACTTGGCCCCAACACTCGGGCCAATCGCCTTGGTTTTCACCTTGGTCTGGAACCGGAGGGAACTCACCCCCCGAAGTGATGCTCCAGTTACAGAACTAAAGAAGTATATTTTTGTTCCACCAAAGAGGAATCGCGCGTTTCGTATCTGTTTCAGAGCAACGACTGGCATCCTTGACAGCACGTCAAACCTCCGGCTGCGGCTTTCCAGGGGGAAAGTGGAGATCTGCATGCTTTGCACTTCAAGCACTACCTTTCCGAGGCAAATTTGCTGCTGTAATTGGCAAACTTGACCCTGTCGAAACCGCGGTTGGTCTTGGCTACAACTTACACTGCTGTCTTTATCGGTGAATCATTTCGACAGTCCGAGTTGTAAATGTTTATCATTTTGATGCTTTACTGCTGCTTTCTGGGAAGGGTTCCAGCGCTTGCCGAAACTGGTGGAGCGAGGCAACTGAGCCCTGAGAAGAGCGAAATATGGGGACTTGGGCTAAAAGCAAATGTCGTTCTTCCCGCCCGTTATTTCTATATTCAGGCTGTGGATACAACAGGGAATAAGTAAGTTGAGAAACGACGCCCTGATTGTCCTAATTTTGTATTGTAGTAAAAATTGACTATTGTTTCCGACCGAGAGCTCTTTTCTCCACAGCAGTTCAGATACAGGGATATTTGGCTATTGTCTGCATCTGGTGGTTGTGCCAGTTTTCCCTGTAACAATCAAATATTTGTGATAGTTTTAGAAATAATGCCGAGATAGCATTATTTGGGAGAGGCAGCCAGTGCACCACTATTTAGCTGAAAGTGCTTTTCCTAACAATTTTTCACAATAAACAGCTAAAAGAATTTAAACCCAATGGAAAGAGACATGTTTGGTCGTCTGACTTCTGTTGCTGTCCTCTATTTTCAAGTACACATCTGCAGATAAGCTTATTTTGAAACACAAAGAGAAGCACATTTTCAAACTTTAGAGCTTAAAGGCAAACTAGCAAAGAATGAATCTCTTATATGTGCTATAAATAAAGGTTTATTTCATTTTTTAATAAGTTCAGTATGTTAAATTTGTCCATAGAACTCATTTTTATAAGTCATCATTCTGAAATAATTACCTTTTTATTGATTAATAGTAACCATGATCTCTGGTTTCCTAGTCTGTAGGGAGTTGCACTGCTAATCCAAAGGCTTTCCATCTCTGGCCACACCAATCCACCAGCCACTCTGGGAGAAAAGTGAGCAGTCTCCACCCATGAAATTTACAGCCTCTGAAAACCAATGGAAGGTCCACTATGAATGGAATCTGACTCCATAATGCGTTTTCAGTTGAGACTGACCCTGTATATTTGGTATAAAGCAAGTGTTAGGAATATTGTTGCCAAAGGAAAAGAGTTGGAAAATGTCATCTATATTTATTTATGAATAAATAAATTTCAACTACAAATAGCACTCCTGGGGAAATGAAAATACAGTATTAAGAGAAAGATTACTCCCTCCAACAGAACTTTTATACAGCAGTTCACTTATGCTGCTCTTTTCCAAAGATAAGCATGAGGTAATGAATTAAGAATCATTGAGCTAAATTTTTCCAAAGAAATTAATAATCTTTGGAGGCACTATCTGATTGCATATTTTCAAAAGTGATGGGCATAAAATAGCAAGTTAGTAAGGATATTTTAATACACAGAGAATGGGAGGAGAAGTTTTATGTTTACATAGATTAGAAGCCTAACACATTCCCTTGTGCTTTTCTGATGAAATTCTGTTACATCATTTTAACTGTTGTAATTTTTTAAATAAAATCTCTATAATCTATCACTTTTGATGTTAAAAGCAGAAGAAAAAAGCATATGATAAGAGTGGAATATGGAGAATATCAAAGTTATCAGACTGAAAAGCACAATAATTGTTCCATAATAATATAATAAATATAATATCTATATTTTATCACTTTGTATTACAGATTCACATCTTCTCCAGGTGAAAAAGTGTTCCAGGTTAAAATCTCTGCACCAGATGAGCAATTCACTAGAGTTGGAGTCCAGGTATTAGACCGAAAGGATGGATCCTTCATAGTAAGATATAGAATGTATGCAAGCTACAAAAATCTGAAGATAGAAGTTAAATGTCAAGGTCAACATGTGGCCAAGTCCCCATACATTTTAAAAGGTATATTGTAATATAATGTTAAAGCAACATTATTTTTTTAATTTCAATTTAAATACTTCATTTGTTTATCCTCTCTCTCAGTTGCTCTGAACAATATACACAACAGCATATACCCCAGTTGAACAATTTCTGCATGTAACTCTGACTGGTAACTCTGGTTCTCTACTTGCAGTCTTTTAAGTTGATTTTACTTTGTGTATTTCTCTGTCTGGATCAGATTCTGACTGTTGTCATGTATCTTGATTTTTGTTGAGCTTTTTTTTTTTATAATATTTCTTTTTTTGTAATCATTGTTATACTTTTTTTTTTGCCCCCCCAGCCCATAGCAGTGCACCCCTTGTTCCAGATTGTAAGGCAACATTGTTTTAAAATGATAACATTATTCCACTAACAAAAATAACTCAGCATGGGGTTTTTTTTTTGGTTGGTTCCAGTCCTCCTGCCCTCCTTGCCCCCCAGTGAAAGGGAAAACCTCAATCTTTTTGCTGTTTTATAGCTAGCCCTCCAGTAGAGGAGACTGCCCTTCCAGTGGATTCAGACCACCAGAGAGGTGTTCCCTATGTGTTAGCAGTACAACTCCCTGCATCAGGACCCCCAGAGCTGCTAGTAAAATACAAGAATTACAATTTTATTTTTTTTAAGAATTACAAATTTAAGCAGATATTATCCTAAAGTAGATAGAGCTCAGGTGGCTAGTCTTTATGGACCTGCAAAGCTACCTCAAAGACCATGCACCTCTCTGGTGGTTTGAATCCATCAGATGGGCCATCTCTTCTGCTGGAAGGTCAGCTGTGAGTTGACTCCTGATTTAACATTAATGAGTTTGAATTTTTCTTTCATAAAGACAAAGTTAGGCAAGGGCTCTCTGGTGGCCTAGTGGCAAGAAGCTGCCTTGCAATCTCAAAGGCATGTGGTTCGAATCCACCAGATGCTCTGCTGGAGGAGAAAGGTTAGTCTCTTCCTGTGCCAGTTGGATCCAACTAAATGGTACACAATGAGGAAAAATAAAAAGAAAGATAGGCAGTCTCCTTCCATGTAATTTTCAGCTTCAGAAATGAAATAGAGGTTCAGCTGTAAGTCTGTTACTAGACAATGGTGATGAATTTGAGTTCTTCTAAAAAGCCTAATAGAGAGTATTTTTTCTCTCTAGGAAAAACATTAGTGAGAATAATCAAGCTATGTTGTTGTTGTTGTATATTGTTGAGTCAGAACTGACTCTCCAGCATCTTTTCAGAGTCTATAAATCGCTCAGGAGGAGATTACCTGTCTCTCAAGGAACACACGGTAGATTAAAATTTCATGTATTTGGGATGGCAGTGCCTTATCACTCAGTCATCAGAGTTGTATCTATGGCCACATTAACTGCAGATGTGTGACTTAAGGTTAGATCACTGCAGGAAAGGAGAGAGTTATAAACAGAACAGTGAAAAGTTCCCTAATAATTTTACCTCCTTTCCAAGGCCATTTATACAGAGGATTCTTTGATGTTTTCTTAATGTGGTATGACACCATAAATTGGTTACCTGGCTTCTTCCCGTTAGAGAAAACACTATTCAAAAATAGTGGGAAAGTAGCATTTTATTTTTTTTTTTTTTTGTTTTGGATTTCCATTCATTCATTGTTGCACTCTTTCCCCTCTCAACCCTCCCCCCCAGTACACTCCCCTCTTGGAAAAGTAAAAGAAAAATTCTTTCATTGGTTTACCATCCCTCCCCCCAGGTCCAATCCACTATGCAGCCTTCGCTCTGGATTCCCATCATGACAAAAAATACCTAATCACATATCCCTTTTAAATAGTTTTCTCTGTCATCTGTTTCAATGCAGTATACATTATTTAACCCATCTTTCTCAGTCTCCCCCCAACCCCGATGTCAGTCCTGTTTTACAACAGTGGCATCATGCAGTATTTGTCCTTTTGTGACTGAGATACTTCACTCAGCATAATGTCCTCCAGGGTCACCCATTTTGAATAATATTGCATGAGTTCCTTGTTTTTCAATGCAGTGTAGTATTCCATTGTGTGAATATACCATAGCTTTTCTCGCCATTCGTCTGTTGATGGGCACTTAGGTTGATTCTAACTCCTTGCTATTGTGAACAAAGCTGCGATAAACATGGGTGTGCATGGAAAGTAGCATTTTTAGAGAAGCACAAATATGCCTCATGTCATGAGAAGCAAAGTAGCCATTTAAAAAAGTGTTTACATTTTCCTATAATCTACAAGGGTAGTTGTGGTAATCTAGTGCGTAAGGTGTTGCCTGCCAACCCACAGACATTACGTTTTAATCCACCAGCTCCTCCACTGGAGAAAGATAAGCAGTTTCCTCCCATCTGATTTATAACCTATGAAAACCCATTGGAGAGTCAGTTACGGATCAGTTGTGAATCAACCACAGTGAGTTTGAGGGTTTTTACATCTCACTAGGATGATATGGTACAGTGTAACCTGGAAGCCTTAAAAAGATACTGGATTTTCAATTACTGCTTCGGACAGATCAGAATCTGAGAATTCATGGAAGAAATGACAGTAAAATCTCAACTGAGATTGTACTGTACTTTATTTGCATTATTTATACAGACATGTTGTTGTCGTTATGTGCTTTTGAGTCACCTGCGAATCATAGCACAACAGCCCTAACCCCTGCTCTATCCTGTGCCAATCTTAATTGTCTCCGACACGCCTATCCACATTACCCCAGTCACTGAATCAATCCACCTCATAGGGGGTCTTCCTTTCCTGTGCTGTCTCTTCACCCTCCCAAACATGATGTCCCTCTCCAAAGACTGATCCCGCCTTACAGCATGTCCAAAGTATGTCAGATGACGTTTTAGAATCTTGCCTCCAAGGACCATCCTGGCTTCACCCTCTGCAGGATGAACTTGTTTGTTCTCCTAGCAGTCCATGGTATATTCAGTATTCTTCTCCAGCACCACAGCACAAAAACATCAATTTACCTTCTGTCATCCCTAGTCATTGTCCAGCTTTCTGATGCATACCAAGTAACTGCAAAGACCGTGGCCTGTATCAGGCACACCTTAGTCTCCAGACTGACATCATTGCTCTTCAGTACTTTGGAGAGGTCTCTGACAGCAGACTTTATCAATGCAATTCGTCTTTTAATTTCCTGGATGCTGGTACCAAGAATGTTAATTGTAGAGCCAAGCTAACTGAAGCTGTTGACAATCTCAATCTCTTCATCATCTGTCATGATGCTGCCAATTGGCCCAGTGGTGGGAATCTCTTTTCTTGATGTTGAGCTTCAATCCATATTGAAGGCTGCAGTTAATTAGTAATGAAATTGATTATTTTGAGGGTTATCTTTTATTCTCTGTAATTCTTCTTTAACAATATCAAACATGATGTATCAAACATGATGCTTGTTAGGTGTTTCTAATTAATGTTTTATCCTATTGAGGAAAACACCTTAGACACTTTTTGTTGTTGTGTACCATTGAGTTGGAACTGTTCCATAGCCAAACCTCCAGTGGGTTTTCAAAAACAGTAAATCTCATGGGAAAGATTGCCCATCTTTCTCCTGTGGAGCAGTGGTTGGACTGAAATTGTGTGTCTTTGAATTGGCAGCATGATTTCTTACCACAAAGCTGCCAGAGTTCTCTTAGACACTTTTAGAACGTATTTATATCGAAACTCTACAACAGAGGTGGAGAGGGTGGGAGCATAGGGGTGAGGATGGGTGGGTTAATCATCATAGGGTTGCATGATTTGATGGGTGGGGGGCGGTGAAGGAAATGGGAAAGAGCCAGTGTGCAAAACAATGTATACAAACTATGTAAACAAACCAGTATAAAATAAATAAGTTAAAAAAACCGATACAACACAGTCAGTGCCATCAAATTGATTCCAACTCATAGCAACCTTCCATCTTGGAATGCTGGTAGTTTTCAACTCCCCCAGAATCTCCCGGCCTCCTGGTGAGCAGCACATCACACTACAGACTGTACCTCCAGTGGTTTCTCAGTCATGGCAACGTTCCATCATTGGTTTCTGAGATTCTCTGCAGTAGCTTGTGGATTCAAACCTTTCCATTAACAGACTTGTGCAGCTAGGGCTCCTAGTTTGTATAATATTTTGTACATTGTCATCAAGTTGGAACCAACTCATAGCTGACCCTCTTGTGGGTTTTACGAGGCAGTAATCACACAAGAGAAGATTGCCCATCTTTCTCCCACAGAGCAGCTGGTGGCTTCGAGCTGCGTGCCATCAGGATTGCAGCACAGCTTTTTTCCAGTAGACCATAGCTCCCTACTCAGTCCTGAAGGGTCACAATGAGTCAACTTGACCCCCCAGCAGTGGGTTAGTTTTGGCAGCTGTCTTTTAAATTCATGCACATGGGCCCAGTTATAAAAATAACACACGACTTTATTGTAAAAATCTATCCAAATAGATTATTAATTTACTAGCAATTCCCTAGCATAATAGAAATGAATAGAAATGTGTTTTCTTAAAAATATTCTTCCTATATTCTAAGGTAAATCTGTGAATATCTTTCTTAGATATTTGTTATCTGTTTCCAATGCTGTGTGAAATTATGTGTTCTACCTTGTTACTTTTCTATAATTAGGACCTGTTTACCATGAGAATTGTGACTGCCCTCTGGATGATAGTGCAGCCTGGCTACAGGAGATGAACTGCCCAGAAACCATTACTCAGATTCAGAAAGATCTGGCACATTTTCCTACTGTTGATCCAGAGAAGATTGCAATAGAAATCCCAAAAAGATTTGGTCAAAGACAGAGCTTATGCCACTACACCTTGAAGGATAACAAGGTATAATACGTGATTAAAGTATTTCTCTTCATTGATCTTTTTGGTCATTTAAATATAATTAACTAGATAATTTTATTAAAAAGAATTGTAATGAACGTCATTGAGGCACCTTTTCCTCAGCAAAGTCTGTCAGTGCATCTAGACTAATGTGAATTCTCTTTTAGGTTTACATCAAGACTCACGGTGAACATGTAGGTTTTCGAATTTTCATGGATGCCATACTACTTTCTTTGACTAGAAAGGTAAGTATTTATTTTCTCTTAGGCATAATATACAATATCAGACAAAATTTTACAGTAGAATTAGTTTAAATAAAAAGAATAACAATAGAAAAAGTTTTCTACTCATGACTATTCTGAAAGTTTGTTGTGTAGGAAAATAACTATAATGAACGTATTTGGATACTAAACTTTGGGTCAAAAGAAGTCTTGACTTACACTGAATTGTTCTGATTAGTATAATGTGATTTAGCAAGGTTCTGGTAAACATTTAAATGACTAAAGGAGAGCTCTGGTGATGTAGTCCATAGGGAGTTGCACTACTAATGCAAAGGTATTTCTTCTCTCATGAATCCTGTAGTGCACCAGCAGCTCCTTGAGAGAAAGATGGGTAATCTTCTCCCAGGTGTCTTACAGCCTTGAAAAACTGCTGCAAAGTCAGCTATTAATTGGTTCTAACTTGTTCAGGTTTAGCTTATTTAAGTGACTAAATTGAAAAACTATCCTAATAAATAGGGAGCTCTGGTGGTTTGTTGTTGTTGTTGTTAAGTACCATTGAGTTGAGCATGCTCATAGCAACCCTATGAACAAAAGACCTGAACCCTGTTCTATAAGTATCATCACTTCTCTACATTCATAGAGTTTCCAGAGACATGCTGTTCAGGAAATGGATGCCACTCCTGCTTCTAAGACTGTCTCATTCTGGGAGCTCCACCAAATACTGTCCACGAAGGGTAACCATTATGGCATTTGACATGTCAGTGGCCCAGCATTCAGAGTCACAGCAACCCCAAGTTACTTCAGTACAGCAAATTAACAGACCACTTAGTGCTGAATAGCTTAGAAGAAATGTTCATCCCAAACACAATTAACACCAGACCTGATTTGTTAGGCCTGGTAGCTTAGGGGTAAGGAATTGTGCTGCCAACCAAAGGTATATGGTTTGAATCTAGTAGCTGCTCCTCAAGTGGACAATCTATTCCTGTGTGATTTGCTGCCTCTGAAAACCCTCTGGAGCATCAGCTAGGGGTCACAACACAACAACAATTCCAGTAAATATTCTTGTCAATTGTCCAATAGCTGATAATTGAATAATTAGTGTACACATGTTGCTTGAATTGCACATTGAAAATAACAGTTTCTCCTCAAGGTTTCAAGACATTTTCAGTCAGTGCATTGTAAATTTAAGTAGTTTTATTTTATCAGTTATCATACTTCCTCTAAGCTGAAATACCAGACTGTAGCAAGTTTTTCTTGCTCATCTGTTTTAGTCCATAAAAAAAAAAAATTAAGACTGTTCTTCAGAATTCTGGTTTCTCAAGATGCTTCACAGAGAGACCAACACAGTTCTTAGAATATATCTTTTGTTTTAAAATACTCCAAGCATTTTTCCTGGCTAGGTAAATTAGGTTATTTCAACATTTCCATGTCATTTGTCAGTAAAGGGAACTTGCCAGTTAATGGTGCTGGTGTTGAGCTTTCTTTAATCAAATTCAGCCTCCACCATCTAACTGCTGTATTATTTTTGAAATGGAAACATCTTACTCATCAACAGAAGACTAAGTTTAAAGTGTTGTTATTTATAATTCTTTTCCTTTCTTTCTTGTCTGATCATTTAGAGTCTCTCGGCAGTTTTGGACTACAGATTACCTTTGCTATTTTATCTTTTTTATAGCAAATTTATTGGCAAAGTGGACACTGTGTTCTGAATAGTTGCTCACTGTTCAAATTGAGGTAATTATCATTACCTAAACCTCTGGTGGCTTAGTGATAAGGAGTTATGCCAATCCAAAGGCAGGTGGTTTGAATCCACCAGGTCCTCTACAGGAGAAAGAAGGGCAGCCTCCTCCTATGTAATTTACTGCCTCTGAAAACCACTACAGGGTGAGCCATGAATCAGCTCCAAGTTAATGGTACCCAATAGCAACAATGAAGCTTATAAGATTGACCTTTCATTTGAAATTTATTTGTAATTGATAAATCCATAATATTCTCCAATAAAAGAAATGTTCATGAACTCATGATCTTTTTCCTAGGTGAAGATGCCAGATGTTGAGTTTTTTGTTAATTTGGGAGATTGGCCTTTGGAAAAGAAGAAATCCAGTTCAAAAATCCATCCGATCTTTTCCTGGTGTGGCTCCACAGATTCCCAAGATATCGTGATGCCTACCTACGACTTGACTGACTCTGTCCTAGAAACCATGGGCCGGTGAGAGACAGGTTACAGTTGCCCCAGAGCATTGATTTTTCTTTCCTTCATGAGTTCTATTCTAACAACATTTGTGACGTGATGATGGTTTGGGAGGAAAATCTGTTGCACTTTCTGTCTTCTAGAGTAAGTCTGGATATGATGTCCGTGCAAGCCAACACAGGCCCTCCTTGGGAAAGCAAAAACTCCACAGCTGTCTGGAGAGGGCGAGACAGCCGCAAAGAAAGACTTGAGCTGGTTAAGCTCAGTAGAAAACACCCAGAACTCATAGATGCTGCTTTCACCAACTTTTTCTTCTTTAAACACGATGAAAGCCTATATGGTCCCATTGTGAAACACATTTCATTTTTTGATTTCTTCAAGGTATGACATCATCTATAGCCAGTCTTTCTTGTTTTCCCAGATACCTTAATTTGTGCGTAAATAGCGCTTTGATGGAGGGAAATTGAGGCCCATAATTTATTAGATGAGGGAAGCACAAAACTTGGTGCATATCTAGGCTCTATGGTCCTTGGTATTGTGGGAACCTAGTATTATGGTTAGTACACAATATTGATACTAAATTAATATCAAGGATATTTGGGAGCTGGAAAGGGTGATAAACATTTTCCAGCTAATTCTCAAACAAATCTTCAGATCTTCTTTTATTAATAAGTACCTGTAACTGATTTTACAAACACTTTTTATCCCACAGTCATAAACAAGACAAGTGAAGAAAGATATAAACTAAGTATCTCTTATTAGGTCTTCCGATGGAGGAGTAAATTGAAACTCAACCAAATGTTCTGCCAGGAATTCTGGTGATAAGGAATAGCTTTCTGTATCTAGAATGTTGTAGCAAATACTCTTTTTCCTGACAGTTCCTCTCTTCAAGGATTGGGACAATGCCTTATTCACTAATCCACTTGAGTGGTTTTGAAGTCCCATCCACTGCCATCAAGGTTAATTCTGGCTCATTAACTCCAAGACAGAGTAGAACTATCCATGGGTCTCCTAGGGTTGTATCTTTACAAAAGCAGGCTGTCACATCTATTTTCCTACAAAGTAGCTGGTGGATTCAAACCTTTAATCATTTGGTTATTGTTGTTAATTACCCCTGAGTCAGAACCATCTCATAGCTGACCTTCCAGCAGTTTTTCAGAGGCTGTAAATCACATTGGAGATCATCAGCCATCTTTCTCCCACATAGCAGCTGGTGGATTTGACCCATGTACTTTTGTGTTGGCAGCACAGTTCCTTACCACTAAGCTACCAGAATTCCCTCAACTATTTTGCTAGCAGCTGAATATTTTAACCACCAGGTATATAGAGAAAACCCCAAACCCACTGTTATCAAATGGATTCCGAAGAGGGCAGAAGTCTTCAGTACGTTAAGGTGTGAATGATTAGCAAGCTCTGTTTAAGCCTGTATAGACAGTCAAGTTTCCTTTTTGATGTACTGTATGACAGTGTATAATAACACTAAATAACACTATAAATTGTCAATATTTTTTCTACATATCTCAAAGATTTTTTTAAAATTTTTTTTTATTTTATTATTTGTGTGTGTGCATGTACCGTCAAATCAGATCTGACTGGTACAGGAGGAGATTGTCCCTCCTTCCCCGGCAGAGCATCTGATGGATTCGAACTGTGCGCCTCTGGATTGCAGTGCAGCTTCTTGCCACTAGGCCATCAGAGCTCCCCAGATTTTTTTTTTTTAATGAGTGATCTAATAAAGCTTATAGTGGCTATCTCTGTACAGGTGTGTTGCATGATTTCTTTGCTTTAATCCTACTTGTTGACTTTTCCCTAGCTAAAGATTATTAATTACCACAGTTCTATGAATCTTTTTATTCACAGATTTTTTTTTGCCTCAGAACTTGTTATTTTCCTTAAGACATGTGTATAACCATCTGTTGTTTAAAAAAATACGGTTAATGTGGCAGAGAATGTGACATCATTAGATTCACACATGCACTTAATAAAGTAGTGGCAGAATTACAAAGTCAAGAATAAATGTAGCTTTCCTTATATTGTAGCCTTAGAAGAACAGTTTTATTATTTTACTGCCTACTTCAATTGATTGTTTTTTCCTTTATAGTATTTAGGGGAACATTAAAATGCATATTTAGCTCTCGATTAGTGTGTTATACAATAGCAGTTATGAACTCATAGGTAGAGAGCAAGATCTGGCCAGTTTGTATGTGAAGATGGAGAGAGTGTGGTAAGGGGGAAAAGGTAAAGAGAGCAGAACAAAAGGAATTTAATTGAAGTTTTCAAACCTTACTGATTGCTTTGCAGCATAAGTACCAAATAAATATTGACGGCACTGTGGCAGCATATCGCCTACCATATTTATTGGTGGGTGACAGTGTTGTGCTGAAGCAGGACTCCATCTACTATGAACATTTTTACAATGAGCTACAGCCCTGGAAACATTATATTCCGGTTAAAAGCAACCTGAGCGATCTCCTAGAAAAACTTAAATGGGCGAAAGATCATGATGAAGAGGTAAGGTCAGTCTCCTAATAGGTGTATTTGCATCACATTCACAGCTATTGCCAGCAAGTCAGCTCAGACTCTTAAGGACCTAACAAGGGAGCCCTGGTGGTCTAGCAGCAAAGAGTTCCACTGCTAATTTAAGGGCCAGCTGGTTCAAATCCACCAGATGCTCCGCAGGAGAACCCACTAGAGTGTAAATTATGTGCTGATTCTGACACAATGACACATAAGAATCCTATAAAACAGAGTAGAACCACCTGGTAGGGCTAATCTTTACGGAAGTAAACTTCCTTATCTTTCTCCTGCACTATGGCTAGTGAGTTTGAACTGCTGACCTTTCAATTAACTATTGAGAGCTTAACCACTGCACCTCCAGGATCAGTAACAGGTTAATTTCAAAAGTCATTCACCAGGGAAGTTTTCATGATTCTCAGATATAGACTCTTATCTATAAATGCGAAGCTACTTACCCATGAAATAAAAATTATTCTAATCCTTTTCAGAGTGAACACAGACATTGAGTCTTAAATGTCTCCATATGAAACAAATATTAAACTTTGACCTTAATATTATTCTCTCTCTTTCAGTCAGGTTATTCTGAACCACAAAAACTTCCTTTCATGCAAATATGCAAATTAAAATAACCAGTTTGTCAGGAAAAGTAATTACTTATGCTCTAAATTTTTGAGGGATTACATAAAACTAATCCCCAGACTATCTCTGAAATTGTTAAAGCAGCGAATTAAAAACCATTTTGCATGCATGTTACTTCATTAAGGTATACCTTCTCACCAAGGCAGCCTTAATTCTAGAAAGAAGGCTTTGGATTTAATTCTGTTCTACTGTCACATCTGACTGCTCAGACATAACAGTTTTTTTTTAAAAAACTCCCTTTTATTTGGATAGAAATTATGTTAAATATTCCCTTTACCACAAAAGACTTCCCGCCAAGATAG